AAATGCACCGAAGCAGAGGACAGGTAGCAAAATGTAAACACATGAACAAACGTTGGCGTTATGAATGAATAAATAATAAAAGAGAGTAGAAATGAGGAACAGTTGAAGGGAAACACGGACACGATTCCAACAATGTTTGCCGTGCATCCAAATTTCGCGTATGTTTGGAAATCGTTGACTTAACTGAGGCACAAAAAGAAAATGGAGGAAAAACTGTACGCTCTATAACAACAGAAGGTAATAATTGGAGAAAACGAGGGGAAAATTGGAGTGAGAGAGTGAAGTCCATAGTTAAGAGAGGGGAAGATTACAATGAAATGACAACAGCTTTAGGGATGGACACGTCGTCAATGACTGGTTGTATGTTTGCGTTGAAAACGGCAGTAAAACATTAATTTGTGATTGCGCGCTCTGATGAAAAAGCACACAAGGACAACATGTTTACCTCCCTTAGTCCTTTGGGGAAAATTTCCTTTCCTTTCAACTTGTCTACTTTATATTATATATATATATATATATATATATAATATATATATATATATATATATATATATATATATATATATATATATATATAATATATATATATATATATATATATATATATATATATATATATATATATATATATATATATATATATATATATATATATTTAGCTGTTTGATGCTAACTTTTGGGGTCTCTGGATAAATCTATGTTCTTATTGAGAGTTACAAGACAGTTTAGACTTATTATTACATTAACAATAAGGGTTGTAGCCATTGAGTGCCGAGTTAAAATGCTAGTTACTTTAGATTTGCTACCACTCGACTCTGAAAGATTACTACCAGAGACCTCTAATGTGATGATTAAACTAAATAATAATACTAATGGTTAAAATAGTGGATGCTCTGCAACATTGTGTAATATCAAAATTAGTACCAAAGACAATGAAAATAATATTAATAAATTTAAAATAATTCAATCACTACGATTTGTCATCAAAACACAGAAAAATAGAATGGAAGAATGTGAGATTGGTAAGAGAGTATTTAACCCTTTGATCCCTGACCGCCGCTTTACCGATGGTAAAGAAAAATGACGATGCCCAGCTACCGGTTGAACGGTGGGTAAACACTTGTAACTATTTTTATATCTACCGTGAACATACCAATTATCTGCGAATTTTGACTGAAGAGCCCAGGTAGAAGAATTAAAATTGTTCAGGAACGCAGAGCTTAAAGGGTTAAACAATAACACGGTACAAGTTTATAGCAATACTGAGGAGAGTACTGAAGATTTTAGATGATTTGCTGCCATTTTTCAATCGGCGGCGACCGCCAACTACCTTTTGCGCGCCAGCTGTGAACGCAAATTGCCTTTCTTTATCAGGAAAAAATGGGCTAATAAGTGTACATAGAAGAAAGTATTGTTCCTTTGCGCATATATAGGACTGGCTCGGATAAGTTCTCGACCGGAGAAAAATACTCTTCAGTCAGAAATGTTTGTCCGTTCATTTGGTCAGATTTTAAGGAGATAGTGCTTATAACTTTTCACGCACACGTATTTCATTATATATATATATATATATATATATATATATATAGTGCGACGATAACTTGGGGTAGAATCAGACTGGTGCCAAATCGATCGGGTTACGATTCCAGCTTGAAGCAATCTGATGTTTATCACACTGATGAGGCGTAACATGAACGAAAATATATCTATGTGTGTGTTATGTGTGTGTGTGTGTGTGTGTGTGTGTGTGTGTGTGTGTGTGTGTGTATTACTTTCAGCTGCTGGACAAGGAAGGTAGAACCATTTGTTTAATATTTAGGAAATATCAAACATTCATATTAATTATTTTATTTTAAAACTTTCAGTTTTATTTTATTGTTTTCTGTTTGCTGGGTGTAGGAAGGCGAAAATTTCGATATATTTTTATTATTTTTACTGCGTGGTAGATATAGAGGCCGATTTTCCTCGGGATGACATTTGAATAAAAAATAAAAACAAAAAAACATCAAAGCAATCAAAAGCACGTACAACATGGAGACATTTTTCTACTCAATTTTCATTTTGCCAGAAAAACAATTTGAAAAAAGTAAATTACTTACTGTATAAATAAGAAGAAATGTATTTATTAAGCTTTGCATTTTATCGTTACTGCCATTTCCTTAATTTGACTGATATGTATTCATAAAAATTTATAGCTTTATATTCGGTTATCATCCGGGTTTTATGAAGTTATCGCCACATTTCAGAAAATTGCGTATTCCATCCTCAATTGAATATTTCGATCTTGACCAGATTCTGATTTGAAAACCACCAGATACATTCAAATTAATTATTGATAGCTTTCAGAAAGTATTCAATAAGTTGACTTTAGATTTTCAATAGGTTAACATGTATTTTTGTGTTGTATATTTTATTACAAGTGTAAATAAATTTACCCCTGTTAAATAGTTCCGCATCGTCTGCATTGCATATCACTACATAAGTGTCGTGAACTCTCCGTACCTGACTCTGGTGAGTACTATCTCAGAATCATTTCTGCAATATTGAACTGCAAACAAACATTTTGGCACATGGCCGAATTTAAAGTGAGAATCCTACGCGTACATGGAACTAGACACAAAAATTGCTTTTGTAAACGCTTACCAGAAATAATATGTGTTTAAGGACACTGGGACAAAGAACGCTATATTTGTGCACAGAATAAGATTAGAAAGTGCATTAAAAATGTAAAAGGGTGTATAACTATATTTTATAGATAATACAAAAGCGTTTGATAATGTACGTCACAAAGAACTGTTGTAACTGCAAGTAACGTGCGCACATTTGTAAAGGATATTAAAATGATTCAGAATCTATACTGGCCACAAAACCTCCCACATTCAGACAGAAAATGAATATACAAAACTAGAAAGGGGTGTAAGAAAAAGATGTGTCTTCTCACTGGACTTCTCTACCAAACATATTCCCCCCGCCCATAGATTCCTTTTATGACAGATATTGATTTTCTAAGCGAGGCTTGGATATGGCACATGGCCGAAAGTATGGGGCACTCAGTGAGGATCGAACTCACTATTCAGTTGTAACAGTTTTAGCAAGACCAGCTTGCTAACCATTACACCACGCCGAGACGCCCTCCTTTTATGATAGATATTGTCTTGGGTCTAGTTATAATTTTGTCAGTTTTGTAAATTTTACTGCCCAAAAGAAAAGGAACCCGGACAGCCATCATCATCTACATTCTAAAAGGAATCGCATTGAAAATGCCATGTCATTTCGGAATGATGGCTCTCCGTGGATTCCTTTTTTATTAACTTCTTTGGAAATATAGTGGAGTAGTTTTTCGTTGCCATCTTCGCAATTTCGAATTCATAGTTTTCTTTCTTTTAGACGGGTTACCGCTCAAGTGGCTTGTAGATTCAGTAAGTTTTAACCTCTGACGAAAGTCCAGATTTTAAAACTTTTGCTACTTCTTGAATTTTTCTTAAGGCTTGTAATAGACGTAATACTCTTGAAAGATTCACCACTAATTTTTCTCTAAGTCTTCAAGTTTTTTTCCTTGGGCTGTGTTTTTCGGATTTTCCCCCGATTTTCAAATTCTGAGGTCTTTCAGGGTGCAAATCATTTCCAACATGTATTACGCGTACAGCATAATTATTACTAGCTTCAATAAAAATTCTCGCTTTTATTTTTCGCCAGACGTAGCATGAAGTGTTAATGAGGTCTACTATACATTGCATCTTCAGTCATGCTTTCCAACGCAATAAACAAAAACTTTTCTCTTAAGGTATTTTGTTCATATTCTCTGGTTCTCTAAGTAAAGTAAATAAGTGGCTTTATTATGTTTAACATTCTTTTTATAGATACAGTGTAACCCGGATATAAGAGATTTTCTCTGGTCCCAAATTAGAGCCATACTTACCTAAACAAAATAGACCAAACCCGGATATAAGAGACTTCTTCTCCGGCCCCGTCCGGGTTACACTGTACAAATATTTTAGTAAATGCTCTGTTTATAATAAACAGTATTAAATAACATTTACCGGCCTGAATGTCCGAGAAATTTTCATAGAAAATATTCGTCCTTTGACAGGATTCGAACCTGCATCCTATACGGAACCGTCATTTAGCTTGACGTGCCTAACCTCTCGGCCACAAAGGATCGTTCGGTTGGCAAGGTCGAATTTACTGCTTATAAACTTCAATCTTCCATGAATCTCGTACATTCATAACTGCTCATGGCGTATCAAATGTAAACAAATGACGTCATACATTAAGAAATGGACAAAGTCCGACAATTTATTAAACATAAAAATGTCTTTAATAAATTGTCGGACTTTGTCCATTTCTTAATGTAAGCGGCTTTATGTAGTCGAGAGTATAGACATTTTTGAACGAGTTTTAGACATATCATGGAAATTGCCTTAATACCATACCACGGGTTGACCCAAGTCTTGCGAGTGAAATTGAGTAAACGAAACATTTGCAGGCCGTCGATAGCTGTGCTAGCACAAAGTCACAAGTCATCGTGACCGAGGTTTTCAGTGTGCTGGCCTTGTTCAAATTGTTGATCACGCTAGAAACTGTAACTAAAGTCTTCTCAGCATAGTTGCAGTATAAACGTCAGGTGGGTTCTGCGAGTGTTGAATAAACACAAATGTGCCTGAGCGAGCGTCTGCAATAAGGATTGGCTATGCGCGGCTTCTCTCAAAACCTACCCTCATACTGCACATATTTGGCTGGTATTTTCTTATTTGCAAAATTTAAGATTTTATTGCTCAGGAGAGATTTATTGTAGGAGAGGAAGGTATTAATCCTATTTAAAACTCAAACTGTGATGGCGTTTACATTAAATCATACTAGTAAATATATGCCATTCTTGCACAATAAAGACATGCATTATATGCGCCCATCCTAAGTCACGCGCAAGACTTTATGACGGACAAGAAGCAGGGCTCTTCTTTGATAAATATTTTCCCTACGATCAATAACGTTAAGGCCTACGGCCACATTGTTGTAACACCGGAACTCGTACGATCACCGAATTTAAGCAACGTCGAACCTAGTCAGTACCTTGATGGGTGACCGCTTGAGAATACCAGGTATTGGAAAATTGTTAATCGAGAAGCCGAGTTTTTATTCCAGTTGGGTCCGTTACGTGCAAATGGTAAAAGTATGAATCCACCTTTTCTCCCCCACAGCTATGGGCTAATCAGTAAGACTTGTTTCACTGAAAATAAAATAAAATAAAAATAAAAAAGATTCTTACAATCTAAAAATATTTTCTGGCTTTACACTGAAAATGGTTGATAAACCGTAAAAAAAAAACCAAATAATAACGTTAAACAATTTTAGGACAGGTCGTTTGTAAGAGATTTAATGTTAATAAATATTAAGTTAAACCTGAACCTGTTGGGTCCTTCCTCATCTGAAAAACTCCTTCTGCAAATATATGAATACCATCTTTTGTCAAATAAAATATGGTTTCATATCCAGAGCGATCTATTTACCAACTCGGAGAAAATGAATAAACAAATAAGTTTCCCTGCGAGGTATTTTCTTGTAAGTAGCCTCACAAAACAATCGATACAGCAACATTAAAAATAAAAGTCAAATTGATTTTCCCGTAATCAGCAAAACGAAGCTAGAGCTAATCGTAAATAGTTAATGAACCTGCACAAGTACTCATCGTCAGTCATGCACGCTGGAGACGGGCGGCGACCATTAAGAATTGATGGAAGTTAATTATCGCCCGTTTACTGGTCATCCTTCATCAAACCTTACAAAATTTCTACCTTATTGCGTCAACATTTTGTGGATTCCATCCTAATGAAATCAGCGACATCTTCATAAAGAAAATAGCTACCATTGTTTCTCGGGAATCAAAACCGCTCCTTTGTGCTTACCAATTGGAGCCTGTAAATATCAAACTATTTATCTGATAGCAGATATCAAGCTTACGTCAAAGCTTAATAATGAATAATTCTTCGCCAATGAAGATGTAGATTATTACTTTTATTTTTATCGGTATCACCTCATGCGAGGCAGTAAAGCCACTAAGACAAGAGTTACAGTGTATGAAAGAATTAGGAAAAGAACATTAATAATGAGCTGGAAGAGAAAAGGGTAATCAGGAGGACAGTAGATAGCGATTGACACTGCATCTAAATATTTGAAGGTTAGTTTTTCAAAAAAAACTTTTCAGAGCCGGAAGGAATTCCAACAAGCGAGAAGTGCAGAGAAGAATGTTTGTAATGAATTCAAACTTCTTATATATCTATCCAAAACTACTTTAAATTGATATCTTGACGCTAGTCTAGTACTGCACTTAAATTCAAAAACACGAGATACCATAGCGAAGAGCGATATTTATTTCCGCTTATTTACAGAAAATGTGGCAAAAGGCCAAAAATGGCTACTGGGGAAAAGGGCGGTCGTCTTCTGTCTTAATATTAAACTTAGATAGCCACAAACACACAAACAATATTCCCAACTTAAAAAAAACATAAACCTACCTTTCTGTTTCCCAACTATAATACCTCATTGTCTCTATGAAAATCCTAACTAGTCACCATATGTACAATTCATTGTCTGGAGTGGGGAAATAAAACAACAATACCATAACGAAGAGCTCATCTGAACAATTACCACGAAAGTATTTATAGAAAAGAAAGAGGCAACCTTATAGTTCTTACTGTGTAGAGTATCTGTAGTATGTAAATATCGATTTAATTAGTCAATCCTGATGTCATAATTCAATATTACTTCGCAGCTTCGAGTCTAATGTTATGACTTTCTTCTAGAGTTATATCTAACTTTACTTCGCTCTCATCAAAAGGAGTGGATCAATTAGAGAACCAATTAGATTTGTGAATATTAAGTAAAACAGGCCATATTACAAATTCTCAAGTGATAAGGGAATGCGTATTACTATAGACGTTAATAAGCACGTTTCACAAGCAAGTATATTTACTTCCGCCCCCCCAAAAAGATACCAGACAATTTGAAAATAATCGCTCACCTAAATAAAAATTCAGAACCTTTATTTCAGTGTAGCATATTTCATAGTCAGTTATTTTCTTTTAAACTATGTGTGTTGAATTTCTTTTTAATCAAAAAGTCGATATATCAATATAATTTAGGATAGTAATAATATAAAGAAAGATTTATTATTCATTAATGGTCCATTTAAACTTGTCTCGCTAGAAAAAGCGAGACTGAGTTTAGTTCATTCACCACTGGGTGCCCCTGACTTTCTAAAAACATGTGCCAAATCTTCAAGCTAATTGGATTATCTCTATCTATTTTAAGGCAGGATGTGTGTGTGTGTGTGTGTGTGTGTGTGTGTGTGTGTGTGTGTGTGTAACGAATGTACAGCCGCGATTTTCGACGGATTTGTACCAAAATTTACATGCACATTCTCCAAGTTAATGGGAAGGCTTAACATCGACGTTGCATTTCCCAACTCCCATCGATAGTGGAAATAATCGATATTTTCCATGCTTCTACGGCAGTTTTTTCATTTGTTTTGCGGCGATTTTCTACTGGCCAGAGTGAGTGCCTTGATAGCTGGCTGCCACGAATAGGCAGGAAGATTCCTATTTTGGCCAGCGTGAGAGCCAACAGCTGACTGACACGAATGTTAACTTGCATACTAGCATGCAAAAAAAAAAAATGCTGTATTCGAAAAAACAGGGAAAAATTTAAATCTGCATGGCACTTTACTCCAATTGGCTCATTCGCTTTTTTAAACTCAACGTTGATTCTGATTCCGCAATGACTGGGTTGGGTGTGAAAAAAGTATTTGTTGTTAACATTCTTTTTCATTTGGTTTTGTCAGTTACGATTCCTTTTTTAAAGCTGATCGTTTTTTGTGTTCATTTTGTTTAAATCTTTTTTTCGTAACAGATTTAATGTTTAGTATAGAGATTAGAAAAAATTCGCAGTGTGATGATAGTTCTGGCATGTAGTAACATCAGCACGGCAAAAAGACTCCTTTAAAGACAAGGAAGGGCAAAAATATTTTAAGTCAATGATAGCGATTGCTGTATGAAAATCGTACGATTTTTGAATCAAGCACCGGCAACCCCAGGTCATGCTGCAAGTCACCATATATAAAGAAAGATGACGTCATATAGAATGCCTCACAATATTTTATTTATAAAAAAAAAATACAATAATTATAAAACTAATGGTTGTAAACATCACATTTTGCTTGTTAAATGTATTTCATGTATATGGAATATCTAGAGATCTTTGAACATTACAAAAGAAATTTGAGATATTTTAATAATCGAAAATGTTTTTATACTGTTCCACTATTTATGGAGTAATCTCAACATCTTGCAAGATCTGCAAGAGCAAAAAATTGAAAAAAAAAAATTTCTTAGAAAAAAATTATTTATTAAACTACTCTAAAGCTTCTTTTCAGTAACAAAGCCAAAAATAATTTTTGATATGATGACAAATTTTTACTATTATTTGGGCAGTTCAACAGAGTGTAATGACTAACAAGCTTGTTTCAATAGTGAGTTCAATCGTCACTGATGCTCCATATTTTCAGCCTCGTTCCAAATTTTACTATTACACCCGTTTCCCTTTTTGACCCAAAACGCATGATCATTTCCGCCTTTAAAATATTCGGCATTCATTAAAAGACTACTTGAAGACCAAAAAAATAATATCTGGGGATGATGATTTATAAACGTAGCTTAGAAATATGTAGAGGCCGAAAAATATGGAGCACCAGTGACGAGTGAAACTTACTATTGAAACAAGGAAAAATCATTACACCACGTTGAAATGCCCAAATAATAGACGACATGAGACTATTGTTATATATATATATATATATATATATATATATATATATATATATATATATAATATATATAAAACAATACAATGTGTGTGAAATGTGAATGGGTGGAACAAACGAGAGCAATGTTGCAAAATAACGATGACCCAAAACCATGCTAACCTTGTCCTGTTGAATTAAGTTGTTCATCCTTAGAAAAAAAATTTCCACGATTAAAAAAAAATGTAAAAGAATACCCCCAAAATACTTTGATCTTTTCTCTTAATAATAACAAACATTTAGACGATAAAATTTTGTTTTCGTCAACTTTGGCGTCTTTTTCATCATGCTATGCTCTGTTTTTAACGATCTCGTGGAGGTACCAACATTAAAGTGATCGAGCGTAATTTTAGGCTTAACTGCTCTTCTCAGAAACTACTTATTCTTATGACACCAGATAACTGAATTCAGGATTCTTTCTCTCCAAATTCAAAATTTCAAAGCCTTATGGCTATTGAATATAGCGATCTAAACGCGCATTAAAACGGAAACTATTTGCTGGAATTGTAGTTAATTCAGTAAAACTACTTAATCTCTGCCCGAACCTTAGAAATGGAGAGTTATTCACATTTACAGTCGGATAAATATCTTCGTTGTTACTATCTCAATTGGAATTCAAATTTCATCCTAAAACGGATAACATTGCCTCATCTTTATTGTCATAATCAGGATTTTTAAAAAAAATGCCTTCTTCATGTTATCTAATAAACTTTTATTGAACCCTTTTTTTAGCTAATTAGAATTTCAACAAAAACTTGAAGAGTTGAGTTACTAAAGCGAATTAACTGAAACTGAGATATCCCCCAAAAAAAAGGTATGGCACGTGGAATTAGAATAATTTACCCCCGTGGACTAAATGGTTTCGGTTCGAAATTCCAGCGTCTATCACTGAAGAAGGCTGGAGCGTACAACGTCGATGGTATGACAATAAAGATGAGGACAACAGTTCGAATGATGTAAATAGTTACAATATCTCAGCTCAGAAATAGACAGATACTATTAATGTTTCAATAGTTCTGCTTTCGATCTTCATAACCTACAAGATTAAAAATAATTATTTGTGAATTCTAATAATACTTGTAAGTCGTATTAAAAGCTAATCCCTAAGCTGAGTAGTACTAGGCTTGAATAAAAATAAGAATTTTGATGGGATCAAGTTTCAATTTGAATTAACCAATAAACTTTTTTTTTCTTTTTTTCTTTTTTTTTAAGCATTACGCCCCGAGCAAGGCGTGAAGCCACTATGATGCAG